AAATAACGTCACCCATCATTCCTTTCCTCACTACACAAAATTAGCACTTTATGAAGTAAGAAAATAGTTGGCAGTTGTCTTCATAGATGAAGTCAATGTAGTCTCATTCCATTGCCAAAAGGCAGGGAAACCAGTTTCTGATGCCTCTTTTCCCCAGGGCTGCTCAAGGCCAGTTGATGGAGAAGGACCAGGAAGGACAAGATTTGGCTTCATCATAGATTTTTAACAGAGAACCTATACTCCTTTTTTAAAATTTTAAATTATTTTTTTAAAAAGAGCCTTGGCTTTTGCTATTTTTACTGACACTCATTTGGAAAGTAGCAGTGCTTAAAACATTTTAAGTCTAGATACCTCTAGGGAAACCCAAGAGAACTCATATTTTATGGTCAAATGACAACCTACCTAGAATTCTATATCCCATTGGATGTTCATAGGCCATCTGCAATATCACAGACACCTTGATCAATTTTTCCAAAACCCTGTTTTATCAGGCATAATGAAATGTGTGTCATTATTACTTTTACTGGGAAGGAAAGCAGGAAGGAAATAACTTATTTCTGAGACTTCTTTCTCATTTTTATTAAGACCGCTATTTAAAATATTTTTATTAGAAAAGGAATTTTGTACATTTTGGCAGGCATAGTAAAGAGGAAAAACACAATCAATTTAACAGCTACTTTTAAATTTATATAATTAATTTTCTTCCCCTCCTTTCCAACAGTGTCAAATAGATTTTCTTTTAAAAAGTTAACAGTTCCTCTTCCCACAGACTGCTTATTCATTGTAACGAGAAAAATAAGTAATTATATAGTGAAGAACTAGGACAACGCCTTGACCAGATGACACAAGTTAACATCACCAGCGGGGACAGATGGCTTTTGTGTGCCTCCAGATGTGATATCCTGAGAAGAACATAACACATCACCTCAAATGCACAATCTGAATCTAATTATGAGGAAACACCCGGTAAATTTAAAATGAGACCATTCTATTATTGAAAAGAAGTGGGAAAGGGGGGCACAGAAAGACCCTATTATTTTAAAATGTCGATGTCATAAAAGGCAAAAGAAAACCTGTGGAAATGTTCGAGAATGAATCTGGTATTAAAGGATAGTGGGGGGAATTAAAGGACATTGTTGGAATACAAACAGATGAGATAAAAGCATATCAAGGTTCAATTTTCTGAATAACAATAACTGTACTGGGATTATAAAAGAATAGCCTATGTTTATGAAATACTGAAAGACTTCAGGATAAAGTGCCATGATGTGTGATGTATATAACTTACCAAATAAGAAGTTTAAAGGACGAGTACAGTAGCTCATGCCTATAATCTCAGCATTTTGGGAGGCCGAGACAAGAGGACTGCTCAGGAGTTCGAGGCCAGCTTAGGCAACATAGTGAGACACTATATCCACAAAAAAGCAAAAAATTAGCCAGGCATGGTGGTGCACACCTCTAATCCCAGCTACGTGGGAAGCTGAGGTGGAATGATCACCTGTGCCCGAAATGTGACCACTGTACTTCAGCCTGAGTGACAGAGTGAGACCCCAATTCCAAAAAACAAAAACAAAACAAAAAATTGTTCTTGCCTACATTGGAGTTCTTGGCTATCTATTTTCTCTCCATGATATTCCAAATGCAACACAGGAAGAAATGCTTGTGCCAAGTAACAAGAAAGCACAAAGCTATCCTAGCACGATCTTTTATCAGTGATTGAAGTCTGCCAGAACATTACATATCTCCCATTCTCAACAGTGTTTGTTGCAAAGACCAGCAAACATTGGTCAACTCTAGCAGCTTAGATGTAATCATTTCCCCCGATTTCTCTAAGCAGGCAGTGATTCTAAAACGTTTTTGTATTCCACAACTTCCAGAGTCATCTCATCCACAAAATAAGTGCCTTAGCTGGCCTCTTGGACAGAAAGGCCCTATCAGTTATCACTCAATTGAATTCAAGTTTTTGAACTGGGACATCAATATTTTAAGCAATGTCTAAGAAGCTAGAGAATGTGGTACTCAGGAAACAGAATCACCTCATCATATACCCACAGCTCCTCATCACTTGGAAACTGCTGTAAGAATTCCATAGAATTGATGTCTAATGCTCACAAAGGTCCTGCATCAGCACTGGAGGTGATGACCTCCAATCTGTAAACTAACTGATTTCCCCCCAAAGCAATGAAGGGAATTGTGCCTAAGTCCAAAAATTTAAGACAGGCTTTTTCTACAAGTCCATCACTGGAGAGAGAACCAAAAAAGTGGAAAACCAAAATTGTTCGGCCATCCTTAGGAATCAAGAAATACGTATCCACTCTCCAAAACACTGCAAAGACAGAACACACGTATACTGCTATGTCTGTGTGTGTGTGTGTGTGTGTGTAGAGATGGAATCTCACTATATTTGACTAGGGTGGTCTTGAATTCCTGGCCTCAAGCGATTCTCCCACCTTGGTTTTCCAAAACCCTGGGATTACAGGCGAGAGTCACTGCACCTGGCCACTGTCTTTTCTATCCTTCCTTGTATATAGTTTTATTATTTTCTTGATTCTTTTAGTAATGACAGTCTCTGGGCTAAAATATACATCCATATATTGTTTTTGGCATTGGCTTTTTGTCCTAGACAGTCTTAGTATTAACTTTTCCCCAAATTTCAATCAATAATTTTATTTAACAAATGACTACCAAGAACCTACTGGACGTAAGATGCTCAGTCAGATGTACTGGGTGGTACTCCACAGAGAAAAGATTTCAGGTTGTTTGTCCTACAAATAATCCCCAAGAAAAAGAAGACAATAAATGCAATAAAATCTGCTTTCAGAAAAGCATCAGAAGCCAGAAATGAATTACAACCAACTGCAAAAAGGAACAAACTAGTCAAAACACTAAAGTTTAATGAGAAGATAACTTTTAAAGTGGATGAAATTGAAATGACGGTGCATGTAACATTATTGTAGATTTAAAATCACGCATAGCCTTCCCCATAAAACTTCTCAGATGCAGTTAAAAACACACACGCACAAAACCAAGCAATTATAAATCCTCTGAAGCATGTAACTGTGATTAGCTGCAACTCTCAGCAATATAAAAATACTTTCACCACAATTACATTCCAGTCTGTAATGTAATTCAAAACAAACAAGTCAGAGACATCGCTCAAACGGCAGAACCAACAAATACAGATGCTTTGCATCAAGGCAATGATTCTACTGAAGAAATGCAACTGAGAAGGAGCAGCGCTTCAGGAACTCGAGCCGGGCTTCGGGTGGAACGGCGAGGCCCCCTTCTGGGCAGAGGCGCACAGCGCACCCAAGCACAGTTCTGCAGAGCGGCACTGAAGGCCGCGAGGGAACCACTGGGGACTTCCTGCAGTGGACACCCTTGCCAGCGTCGTATTCACAGTTTCACTGTGGACTTTACATTTTCAGTTTGTTACTTTTTTTTTTTTTAAGAAATAACGATTCGATTTCTCGTTAACTTGACCACTCTGTTTAATTCTGCGACCAGCATTCCCACCACCTGGCACACCCGTACCCTTCACCCTGAGCTCCTTGGGCTCTCTGACTCCAACGAGCTGCGTAATGGATGACATTTATTATCTGTCTCCCTTTAAGTTCCTCGAGAGCAGGATTCTTTGTTTTCTCCCCGGTCCAGGGAACAAATGGATCCTGGCATAGTATAGTTGCTCAATAACAAGAAATCGTTCCATTTATGTTTTTATCTTTTATTTTTAAGACTATTTGTCTTCAAATAAGGCATAAATCAGGTTTTGTTATAGCAATATGCTATAATTTTAAAATGACACTCAAACACTTGTTTAAAAGTGTACATTTTCTCTAAATACTTTATAAAAGCAAAAAGTCTGTTTTAAGGGTCATATAATTATGGTCTCTCTCTATATATATGTATATATATATATATACAACTCATACACAACCTAGAGAGAAGTCACAACCCCCAGTGCCCTGGGAGAACACAGTAGCTGCAGAAAATGAAGAATCTGACTCTCAAATGCCAGTCCGGAGAAGGTGTCCATAGGGCAGCACACCGTAGGTCATATACACGCAGGTCTGGTTGCAGGTTCTCTGAAAAGTCAGCACTGTCTGGACTGGGCATAATGCTTTGGTTGAAAGGGCAGGCACTGCTTGCTAGTTGCCAAAACCTTGAACCTTAATTTTTGTCATTCTTTTTTTTTTTTTTTTGAGTTAGAGTCTCACTCTGTCGCCCAGACTGGAGTGCAGTGGCCGCTCCCAGCCACCGCTACCTCGACCTGCTGGGCTCCGGCAATCCTTCTGCCTCAGCCTTCCGAGTAGCCAGAATTACAGGCACGCACTACCATGCCTGGCTGATTTTTTTATTATGAGAGATGAGGTCTCACCAAGTTGCCCAGGCAGGTCTCGAACCTGTGGACTCAGGCAATCCACTCACCTCAGCCTCCCAAAGCAGGGGATTACAGGCTGAGCCACCGAGCCCGGCTAATTTTTGTCATTCTTAACGTGTTCTTTCAGATCGTGGAAAAGCTAATCGTTGTTTACAATTGTTGGATTTTCTTGAAGTGCCCATTTGTTCCCCTCATAGAGCAAATGTGAGAGACACCATTTTCCCACAGATTAACAACAATATATAAACATATGACTTGACGCTGTCAACAGCTTTCAGTCCAGGAATTTTGTCCAGGTCACTGTGGGGCATTAGTCTCTCTTTTTTTTTTTTTTTTTTTTCTTTTTGAGTTAGAGTCTCACCCTGTCACCCAGACTGGAGGGCAGTGGCCGCTCCAGGCCACTGCAGCCTCGACCTGCTGGGCTCCGGCGATCCTTCCGCCTCAGCCTTCCAAGTAGCTGGAACTACAGGCGTGCGCTACCACGCCCAGCTGACTTTTCATTTATTGTAGAGATGAGGTCTTGCCAAGTTGCCCTGGGGGGTTTGAACCCTCAGGCTCAGGCAATCCACTCACCTCAGCCTCCCATGGCGCGGGATTACAGGCTGAGCCACCGAGCCCGGCTGGGGCATTAGTCTTTCAACCCAAGTTCAAGATTTCTGACATTCCTTTTTCCGAACTTTTGATTTGGGTGCTGTGAAAATAGAAAAGAAAAAGAGAAAATGAGATAGGCTCATGTCAGACTCTGTAAGGATTTGTTTTAAGGGAGGTACGTTATATACAGCAGGGGGAAACTGACCATTTGGATTTTCTTGTTTGTAGAAGGTCTTTAACATTTCCACTGCTTCCTCAGCCCGATATCCAGGAATGCACTGATGAAATGAGAAAGCTGAGAATGAACACAGGCCTGTAAAAATGTATGTAGCACCCCATAAAAACAACCATATACACATAACTATGTAAACGGATTTCAGATAATGTTAATAAACTTTGAGGATATTAGCAACATGGATGAGGTATGATTCCAAAAGAATATGTGTGCAATCTCAAACATCACTTTCAATCAACTATTATTCATACAGCAACTATTATATCAGCTATGTGATCTTAGTTAAGGTACTTAAACTCTCTGTGCCTTATATGTAAAATGTCAGTAATATCAGCACTTACCTCAGAGGGATTTTGTCAGGATTAAATAATATTGTTAAATACCTGGCACATCCTAACTGCTCATTAAGCATTAACTATTTTGCTAGGCAAGTTGGCTCATGGCTGTAATTTCAATGTTTTGAGAGACCAAGGCAGATGGAGTGCTTGAGATTAGGCACTCAAGACCAGCCTGGACAGCATAATGAGACCCCTGCTCTACAAAAAATAAAAAAAAATTAGCAGGGCATGGTGATGCATGCTTATAGTCCCAGCTATTCAGGAGGCTGAGGCAAGAGGATTCCTTAAGCCCAGGAGTTCGAGGTTGCAGTGAGCTATGATCATGCCACACCACTCCGGCCTAGGCAGCAAAGTGAGACCCGTGTCTCTAAAGAAAAAAAAAGTCACTAGCTATTTTTATCTGCTGTTATTTTGCTATTTTCTGGTGGACCATTAAGTATTTGATGCTATAGAGCTAGGAATGGCAAATTATACTTGGTGGCCCAAATCCAACCCACAGCTAAGAACTGTGAGCTAAGAATGGTTTTTATATTTTTAAAGACTTGTTAAAAAAGAAAAACAAAACTAGGCAATAGAGATATAAGTGGCTCACACAGGCTACAATATTTACTATCTGGCCATTTAAAAACCCTCTAGCTACAGAGGATTGTTTTTTAAGTCTTCAGTTTGTTCTGCCTTTAAGATCTAACTGGAAAGGAGAGATCAAAATGTGAAAGAATAATAAACTGTGATATCAGTAAGGAGTACTATTACATGAAGTACTACATGTAGATGATGACACTTGCACTTGCCTGAGAAATCAAGAATATTTAAAGAGTAGGGTATTTCAGGGAAAGAGTAAGAACAAGCTTGGGTCATGTGTGAGGCAACCGGCTGATGGGGACTGATTATTGAGGAAGCACAAGGAAAGAAGTTAAGGAAATAAATGAGTTTGGACTTGATACAACGCACCCTTCTGAAGTGCATGAAATATCACAGTGAGCACCTGAAAGCCATGCACAGGAAAGAAAGCAGTGTGGAGCACAGGCACGGGGAATGGAGCACCAACCACTCTGGAATGCTGTTCAGAATGACCTCCCTTTCTCTTATGTCTTCAGTCTGTCCTTGCCTGGGCCTAACAAGCTGCATAAACCCTCCCCACAACAAATAACAATTCCTTCCACCCTGCTCCTCTCGCAGGCTGCGACCCTGCTTCTGCCTGAGAACATTCCAGACTTCACTTTTGCTCCCATGCCTCCTTAGGCCTCATCCTCACTGGCTTATGCTCCCAGCACTCTACTGAGGCTGCCCTCTCAGATGTCCCCAGGGTCCCTACTGACCGAAAACACTGGTCTCCTTTCCATCTCCTCCACCCTCTGCAGTCAGGGAGACAACTGGCCATATCTGCTTCGTCTGACAGCTCTCTCCTCCCTTGGCTTCTCAGTACTTCATCATTCTAACCATTGCCGGTCAGCCCTGTCACTGCTGCCCTTGGCTTCCTGCTGCCATTCCCGGGGCTCCCACCTCTCCCACCTCTCTCTGCTCCACTCACACCCTGGAGCCCTCTCCTCTCACGTGGAGTGAGAGCGGTGGTTGTCAACCTTGGCTACTCAGGAGAACCGCTTGGGAGCTCTCTGAAAACACACGACTGTTGGTCTGCCTTTTGCTTCAGTTTTTCTGGGGTGGGGACCAAAGATCTCCAGATGATTCTAATATGCAGTCAGGGATGAGAACCACTGAGTTACTAGCCGAGAAGGAAACTGTATTGCGTTAAGATACCAAGAGAATATTTTCAAGTATCCATTATAGCTACAAATTTGTGGCTTTCATTAAAAAAAAATTCTTACATTTTTTAAAAACCAGAGCAGGTAAGTATTATAAATAAGTCACCACCTTCTTTGAAAAGGAAACTTCTGTGAGTCTCTGCAAACTTTAATGCTGCTTATAATACAATATTAAAAGAATCTATAATTCTGGAATAAGAAAACATCATCTCACTCCCTGAGCCAAATACATTTTTTAAAACTACACACACAGCATCCAGAAGACTGAGGTACTAATGTTTTCTTTAGAATCTCAAAACACCTTAAAAAAAACATAATTTGGCATCAAGCCTGCAGATATGACTTCAAGCCACAGGCATTCATTTGTGAATGAGTCAATGTGACCAGGTATATACACTACAAATGAACTTGCTTGGGTTTAGCCACATCAACTCTGCAGAGATGTGTGAGAAGACTGTGTTTGTGCCTCATGTCACTGACATGTTGGAGAGATATGTTCCATCCACATCTGACATCAAAGGATTCATCTCTGTTCTGCCCAGAAACTTTGAGAAATTCTTTAGAACATTCTCATAAAGGAAACACAGAGTCAGCAACTCATTTGCAAAGAGTTATGTAAGCAAAATTTGAGCTACTAATAGATGTGATTGGAAAAATCAAACCATTTTGCAGATGTCTTTAACGAACAAGCCAATGTATCCTTTATTTGCCATCATTCCATTACAATTTCTTTTCTGGTGTAATGTCAAAGGGCATCTATTTGCAAACATACAGGAGTCCACAGCAAAGCCAATGCTCAGCTGGGAAAACTCAAGACAGAACATTTTATAAAGCTTGTTTTCAGTGGGATTCAGCCAATTTAGCTCTTCATTAGTCCTTATAATACTCTAGAAAGAGTTGAGGTCTTTGAAGTAAACTGTCCACCTTGTCCAGCATTTGTTAAATCCTTTTCTTATTAAAACATAATACTTTTAGATTAACCTTACATCTTGGAAAGATAAACCATCAAAACGGTTTATGAAAACTGGTATATCTACAAGCCAAACTCTGAGATATAAATTCCTAATGCTTATAGTCTTAACCTAAAAACTTCAGGAAAAGTGACAAAATTCAAGAAGAAGTAGAATTTGTAAGAGGTTAAAGACATGTAGATTCTTGGGTCTGGGGTAAAATCTCAATATTAAAAAGACAGAAGAAAGAAAATGAAAATACAGTGACTGCTAGATACTAAAATTAGTATGTGGCAATCAAGCGAAATGAATAAATGTGTGCAAAAATTCTATGGTCATTGTAAATAGCATCTACTGTCACTGACACAGGCCAAGCTTCACCAAACTCGGACTGCACGGTGCTGGTAACATTCACTGAATAAAAATCCCAATAGCAAGAAGTCTCTAAACACACCTGAAGATGTTGGTAAAGACTGTCAGGAGTTACCTGAAAGGTTGGGATCCCTCCTTAAGCAGAGAGTCTATGAATGAAGACAGCCACTCATCTAGAAACTCTTACCTGTCATCTTATACTGAGGCGTAAATGAACTTAACTAGAGGTCCTGAGATCCAAGAAATCTGATTCTATCACACTTTGTGGTATACTGACCATACACTAACTATTCACAAGTCAGTAATGAGATGAAAGTAATTAGGAAGAAAGGAAAAGCATAAGCAGTTTGTATTACCTGAAACGGTCTCCCAGTGTTTGGTAAGTCAGCAGAGGCAATATTTAGAACAGAGCCACAACCACCAAATCGTTCATTTTGACAACCATACACAACCAGTGGGATTTATAGGACAGAATTAAGGTTCTGCATACAACACAGAGTTTAAGTGTGTGACATGACAAAAATCGGGGTAGGTTTATACTAGCCATCCTAGAAAGGAAAGCACACGTGACTCTGCAGAACAATTGAACCTAGGATTAGTCTTAAAAAAATCATATGATCCAGTTACACAAAAGAAAAAGGAGCCGGGCTCGGTGGCTCAGCCTGTAATCCCACGCCTTTGAGAGGCTGAGGTGAGTGAATTGCCTGAGCCCGCGGGTTCAAGACCCGCCTGGGCAGCGAGACCTCATCTCTACAATAAATCAGCCAGGCGTGGTGGCACATGCCTGTAATTCCAGCTACTCGGAAGGTTGAGGCGGAAGGATCGCCGGAGCCCAGCAGGCGAGGCTGCGGTGGACGGCAGCGGCCACTGCACTCCAATCTGGGCAACCGAGTGAGACTCCAACTCAAAAAAAAAAAAGAAATAGGTTTAAAGTCTTTAGAAATTAACATCTAACAATCGCAAAGAGAACGAAAACTGAGTATGTACTTGCATAATGTTCAGTGTAGTGCTCTCTTTGCTCTTTCCTATATCACTTTTTCAGAATCCTTAGAGAATTAGAGCCAGAAAGGAGGCAGAAACTCAATCCAGGGATTTTCACCTTTTAAAAATAACAGATTGTATCCTATTCTTTCCCCCAAATAAAACATAACTTGTGCCTCAATATAAAACAGACTAAAACTTAACCACTCTGCAAGGCAGAATGAGGACAGAGTTCTAAGTTGCCCATAAATGTGCTTTTATAGAAAGTATACATTTTATTGTACTCAAAAATCTCTGTATTATTTGTGAAGTGATACAATTATTCACACATACGTTATAAAATAAGTGTATAAAGATACACAAGCATGAAACCAAGTTTTTGAATTTTCAAATAATTTTTAAAAATATCTTTAGAGGCCGGACTTGGTGACCCAACCTATAATCCCAGCACTTTGGGAAGATGAAGAAAGTGAATTGCCTGAGTTCACCGGTTCGAGATCAGCCTGGGCAACTTGACGAGACCTCGTCTCTATAATAAAAATAAAAAATTAGCTAGGCGTGGTAGCACACGCCTGTAGCTCTGGCTACTTGGAAGGCTGAGGCAGAAGAATCGCCAAAACCCTGCAGGTCGACATGGGGGTAGCCATGAGTGTGCCACTGCACTCCAGGCTGGGCGACAGAGTGAGACTCCAACTCAAAAAAATATATATATATAAATGATTCTTTACTTACTTCTGACTGAAAATTTTTTATACATTGTAATAGTTATGCATGGCTAAACAAACAAACAGAGAAAGAAAAACTTTATGTCACTCATAATCTATTATCCAAAAGACTTATCTGGATATTCTTCAAGTCTTTTTCCTACACACACTATTTTATAAACTACTTTAACTTAATTTATAATTTATCCTTACAAAACAGCTTAAGTGAGTTCTAAGCTTTTCTTTCTCTAGATTATTTAATAGTTCTATGTTTACTGATATAAAAAGAAATGGGTAATTGAACTATTTAAAAATCTTTTCCTTTTTTGGCCAAAAGACATTAGCTTTTACAAGGTAATTCGTAAGTCTGTGTTTTCATATCTTAGGAAACAGGCTATGTGCCTGGCCACTTTCTTGTTCACAGGAAGAGTACAAGACATACACCTCTGAAGTCAAAGGATACTCATCAAGCGAAGAGCAGCTGCACACATAATACATGGCTCCACGGTGACATACAGCACAGTGTGTGCAAACACTTCAGAAGGTCTCTTGCCATTTTGGCAACACCAATCTAGGACCTGATCAATGGCCACCATTTCTGCATGTCGAGTAGCCTGAAAAGAGAAAGGTGCTGGCATTGGTATTGTTTGCTTCATGTAACTGTTATTTTACAAATACACAAAAATAAATACAAGAAATATGACTATCATTTCTGCCAACATTCTAATGAATAAGGTTTCAGGCACCTTTAGCAGTTGACAATGTATTCCCTAGTTCAAGTACCATAACCTCATCAGCAAAAGATACCTAATCTGAGACACCATCCAAATCATGCTATATTTTTAGTTAAGTACCTAAGTACCTTAAGGGAAACTCTTTCAATTGAAATACCATAGAGAAGATAAGTCTCAAAAAAACCCCAAAAAGATAAGTCTATGGTTTCTGAATATTTTAGAGGAAGTGAAATTTTCATAAACTTGTGCTCCAGTTTCAAATATATTTTCAAGGCGTCACTGACCTCACTCTAAGCAAATCTATATTTAGTTTACTGGAATGTCATCATTTACATTTTTGGGAGATGAGATTTTATACACTGGCCAACTCTAGAGAAACAGAGACTTGGTGTTGGTCTCAGATATCCCATGGAAGCAGTATAATAGAAGGGAAATCACATAGCATATGGAATTGACTACATTCAAGTTTAAATCCTGACAGCAACATTACTAATTATGTGGCCTTAGGTAAGTTACCTAACGTCCCTAAGCCTTGGTTTCCCCATATGTAAAATAGTAGACACTGGTAACTGTATCTCATAAAGTAATCTGAATCACAGGAAGTATGGGACCACTTAATGCTATATACATACTCTACCCTCCTTCTCTTACCCCCTCACTAAGATAGCTTAATGTGAAGCACAGATCCTACATGCAACAATTATTTGTAATATTCATGACAACAGCATTTATCAATAATTCACACTGTGTGCTAACTACGTATAAGTCGCTGTGCTAAATAAATTGTGTAGGATATGGCCGGGCGTAGTGGCTCATGCCTGTAATCTCATCACTTTGGGAGGCAAGAGAACTGCCTGAGCCCAGGGATTCGAGAACAGCCTGGACAACTTGGCAAGACCTCATCTCTACAATAATTTTTTTTAAAAGAAATTAGTTGGCCATAGTGGTCCATACCTGTAGTTCCAGCTACTTGGAAGGCTGAAGCAGAAGAATCACCTGAGCAGATTAAGGCTGCGGTGGCCATGAGTATACCACTGCATTCCAGCCTGGGTGACAGAGTGAGACTCTAACTACAAAAAGAAAAAAAAAAAGAAAGAAAGAAAGAAAGAAAAGAAAAAGGAAAAAGAAAAAAAAAGGTCATTGCATTTGTTAAGCTCTGGTCTGGCCAGGTGGCTCTTTAAGCTATGGCCAGGCCATGCATGCTTTTGTTTTCCTAAGCTTAGTTTTGGCCCCCTCTCCTACCTTGGGGAGTTGAATCTCCTCTCTCTCTCTAATGTCATCTTTCTCTCTCTCTCTCTCTCTCTCTCTCTCTCTCTCTCTCTCTCTCTCTCTCCCTCAAATTTACTTTCTAAATAAACTATATTTTCCAATCTAAAAAAAAAATTCTGTGTAGGTTAAAATGTCTTTGTCCTCAACAAGCATCAAATCTGGTGGGCATACAGAAAGGTGCTCATTTACCTGTGAGATGGGGCAGGATGTGAAAAGTGCTGGCACAGCCACATAAGATGCCATGGAAGCCAGAGGCAGATGGGAGCAAAGATGGTTGAGGGGGCTGCATGGGCGAATCACAGAATTATAAACTCACAAAAGGAAGGCACTTTAGAGAAGAGGTTCTCACACTAGGCTGCACACCGAAAACCAACTGGAAAGCTTGAAAAAAATGTCCCCAATTTGACTGCTTTTAAAAAATCAGATTCAATCAGGTGCAGTGGCTCATGCCTATAACCTAGAACTTTGGGAGACCGAAACAGGAGGATCGCTTGAGCCCAGAAGTTTGAGACCAGCCTAGGCAAAATAGCGAGACCACATCTCTACAAAAAAAGTTTTAAAATTAGCCAGGCATGGTGGTATGCACCTGTAGTCCCAGCTACTTAAGAGGTTAAGGTAGAAAGAATGCCTAAGCTCAGGAAGTCAAGGCTGCAGTGAACCGTGATCATGCCACTACACTCCAGCCTGGGTGACAGAGGGACACCCTGTCTCAAAAAACTCAGATTCAGAATTACTGAATCAAATCTCCCTACAGCTCTCAATAAATAATTGTTGAGCTGAATCATCTCAGTCAACTCCCTCTTTTACTGCTAAGGAAACAGAAGCTAAGCAAAGTTGGCATGTATTAAAGACACACAGTTGGGAGAGGAGGTGGTGGTGATGAGAGGGTGGTGGTGGTATCAGATCCAAAAGTAGAACTCAGGTCTCCTTATTTGGGGTCAGGAGTCTTCCTATGCTGTATTTATGGGGTAATTTTCCATATGACACAGAATAACAAAATAAACCCAGATTAATTTCAAAGTAAAGAAGAAACCCAAGTCACGGGAAAGAGAGTTAGATGAATACTATTATCAGGACTTCAAACTCCTGATGTTAAAGATATCATACCAAACCACAAAATACAAATTGGGAGATATGACAATTATTTAAAATATAGAATTCTAGTCCCAGATAAGTATCTGTATAAACATTAATTGTTGTGTTATGTTTTTTACTTATCTCACATATATTTTTATATCTTCTTAATAATGGTTTTGTGATTCAACATGAATGTAACTCAAACAGTGAAAAAATACTTCGCGATATTTTTGTATGTTTTGTAGTATTTTAAGTTAATAGTTAAAATTATGTCATTTTCCAACAAACATCGACTAACTGCCTGTTTACAGAGGTATGTGCATATGCTTCCAGTTTTCCATCTGAAATGTTAATGGTTAATTATAAAAATGTTAATTATACTTGGGAATGGTACTATTCTGACAGTTATGTAATACTTCTCAGTGTTATAATGGTAATTTTAACATCCCGTTTGAGATTTTTGTACATGTGAGTTAACACTAAAAGAGTGTATATCTACATATTTGCATATTGCTACATGACAAACTTTAAAATGAATATATAATTTATATGAAAATTGTCTGAAAGAATGTGATAAAATTTAACAGTCCTGTCTATATAGAGAAATGAGAACAGAACTGCTTCTACTTTCTGCATTTGAAATTTTATGAAGGTATTTCAAAATGAAAATTTAATTAAATAATAAAGAAAAGTTTAAAGAGACAAGCAATCTATGCCTCTCTTCATCCTTGCCTATCAACATCCTGGGAGCACGGGCAGTTGGTATTTGACTTTTTATTCCATCATGAATGGTTTTGAATGATCTCATGAAAATCATGTGATTTAGACATAAGTGCAGCAGAGTCTTACAGTGAAACAAAGAGTGCTGGATGACCCAAGAAAAGAAGGTAGAAGGTGGAATTTGAGGTGATCAAGATGAAAGATATCTGTAGATAACCTGAGTATGACTGAAATCATCAGAAATATCCTGCTTCCTAGGGAATCCTTTAATTTAAAGGTTTTAACTGTGACCCAATGATGGTAGCTCCAAGAAGGAACACTTGTCATCTTTGTTTTTAATCCTGAGAATGGTACCTACCATCAGTAAATATTTCTTGCAGAATTCTCATGTAAGTGCTCTTCACTCCCTTGGTAGTAGGACTGTGATGACTAAAAAGCAACCTACACTTATCACCTGCTTCACTACTATTAAAATTCAGTTTTCATAATGCATGAAAACCTCCTATTATGTGTTGCAGTGGACGCTCCATGTAAATCAGAAAAACTAGACTGAGAAAGCTCATTTTCGGAAAGTGACCTAAAGAGTGTCACTGAAGATAATTTTAACTAGGTTCAATGATTGTTCCTTGTTACCACTGGACTAAATCTCAGGAGCTGGAATGGCTAAGGTGTCATTGCACAGAGAAGCCTGGGATGGAATTACAAGGACTTCAGCTCAGTGTTTCTTAAGTATAAAGTATATACTATAAAATTATTTATAATTTTCACTTCTCACAGACTACATTCAAAACTGATTCATTAAAAAATTATCTTTTTCAAGATAATTTTTACATCAAAGGATGTAGAATTTTGTGAAACACAGTATTTTTACTTCTTAATTCCCTTTTTTCTTTCTAATTCTGCTCTCCAATCTACTATTATTTTCATAAACAAAATTGACACATAAGTACTTTAAAGGGGTCTGATATACTAGCTAGAGATTTTCTATGAAGTGAACATGCTTATATGTAAATTTTAATCCAACTACTTTGTTGAAATAATTCCTATGGATTGGAACTGCTGGGGCAAAATGTAGGCAAAAATCTACATTTTGAGTAAATTACCCATTATTGGAATAAGTTTTTCCAGTGTTAGATTTAGAGTTCCTCACTGCCTAAAAGTACAAATGTTAGCTATTGGTATTTTTTATTGTTGATAACATAATATTACAAATTGCTTATTTTATGTTATGCTAGATCATCCGAATATAGCATTATTTGTCATTTGTGCCATTTCATTTTCCTCTGTTCCTTTTATTTTCATTCCCCTTGCAATATTAGTCTGTTACTGATTTCTAAGAGTTAATTTATAATTAAAGATGTTAGCATTTTGTCAAGCACTGCAAATGAAATTCCATGTTTATTCCCATTTATTTTACTATGGTGTTTTATGTTTTGATTGTATACAAGTTATACACTGAAATATAATCATGTTCTGTTTTATGACAAAATAAATAAATAAATGATTGCTTTGTGAATCTGGGTTTCTACCTTACATATGCTTTGCTAAATCTCAGTTTTCTTTTTCATAGATGTAATGGATAAACTCTAAAGTCTCCATGGCACTGGTACCAACACAAACTTGTTCTCTGGCTCCCAATTTCACATGATAAGATCAAACTTCATGTGATGGCATTACAAGTACATTACCCTTGAGTCAACCTAGTACTTTTTATAATCATAAAATTCAGTACTTTGCTTATACTTCCCAAGTATGCTTACTGCTGCGGTACCATGTTTAAGAAGTCTTGCCTTAAACCGTGCACTTCCCAGTCTAACTACAATAAAACTCACACAAGCTACTGAAGTATAGATACTGCATGTAGCTACAGAGACAGCTGGTGCTGAAGACTTTATTCTGTTCAATTATCTGATATAGAAATAGTTTCCTTTATATGACCTTTTTACACCTCCCTCCAAAGTTATAAATTGAGGATAGTTTTTTCATTTGCTAAGAGGAAAACATCATTTAAAGGTACTAAAGAATGCATTACAAGTTAAATTTACCTATTTTGCAAAGTGAAACTTTCATATATTAGATAGGTTTAAAGTAGAAATAGGCTTGTTTCTTCCATGCTGACGTTCTGATATATAAAATTCCCTCTTGAGCTTCACTCAAGTGTTAAAACTCCATAAAATAGAAAATTATCCACTAGGATTTTATTGCTTCATTAAATTTTTCAGAACTTTTCACATTTAAAAAAAAATTAATATCAATAATTTTTAAAATCAGAAAAAATATAAGCCGAGCTCGGTGGCTCAGCTTATAATTCCAGTGCTTTGGGAAGCTGAGATGAGTGGATTGCCTGAGCCCGCAGGTTCGAGACCCACCTGGGCAAATTGGCAAGACCTCATCTTTACAATAAATCAAAAATTAGCCGGGCGTGGTGGCGCGCGCCTGTAGTTCCAGCTACTTGGAAGGCTGAGGCAGAAGGATCGCTGGAGCCCAGCAAGTCGAGGCTGCAGTGGCCAGGAGCAGCTACTGCACTCCAGTCTGGGTGATAGAGTGAGACTCCAACTCAAAAAAACAACAACAACAACAAAAAAAAATATGGCATTCAAAAAGAGCGATGGTAAGAAAAATTATGCTACCACAGGATAGCCATAGGATTCTATTCAGTCTTATCTCACCAACTGTGGTAAGTTCACTCTGCTCCTGCCATCACTACTGTATGTCTGCAGTGATACTATTTAACTCACATACATTTTTAGTTTCGTTAACTTCATTTCTTCCCTTCCCCACAACTTCATTGTTGTAGACCATGAGGCAGCCGACAGGAACTTCAGTATTTTCGAGGGCATTTTTAGCCTGGAACACAAAGTAGAAAATCTAAGATGTAATGCTCAATACTTGAAAAGACTATAGGAAACAAATAGATGCAGTATGAACAGGATACATGTATATAAACACTGGAACAAAGGAATGCAGCTTTCCTTTTCTCTAGATCCATTATGGTACTTAGTGCCTGTGTTCTCTGTTGTGCCCGTGTGAAGGGAGACTTAGGAACAAATCCCCTTCAGAGATCCTGAGCCCTGATTTCTTCTTCTCGTTGTTATTGACCATTGTTCTTAAAGTGCCAGGATCTATGCACATTCTAAGTGACAGAATACATATTTGCTAAGAAACAAGAGAAAAAGTAACATTTATAAATGCTGTACCAGAATTCTTTCAGTGTTGAAATTTTACTTGTTTAATTTTTTTGCTTCTCTAAAAATTATAGAAATTATTTGCTAGAGTCCAAATAGCATAAAGGTGACCAGACTAGCTGTTTCACAATTTCTGCTCTAAGTGAGACAATAAAAATTTAAGAGTACTCTATATAAAAATGGCATAACCACTTTGAAAAACATTTTGGAAGTTTCATTAAATAGTAAACACACACACAATATATGACCAAATCCCACAATTAAGTACTTATTAAGACAAGGGAATATATGTCTACAAAAAGCCTTGGAAAAAAATGTATAATAGCCAAAATCTGGAAACTGCACAGGTGTCCATAAACAAGATAATATTCACACAATGGAAGGAATACTATTAATAGTTGGTAATAAAAAGAAATAAACTATTGATACCTCTACAACATGGATGAATCTCATAGGTATGCTGAGTAAAAAAAAGTCAAACACAAAAGCAAACAGTATGAGGCCTTTCATACAAAGTACTAGAGTAGACAGAACTAAACTATGATGATAGAAACTGAAAGATTCTTGGCTTCATGAAGGGGTATATGCAGACTGATTGGGGAGGGACACAGAAAATTTTTCTGGGGTGGTGAAAACTTTCTGGATCTTGATAAAGGCATGGCTTACCCAGATGTTTGCATTATTCAAAATGAATTGAAGGATACATCTACAAATTGTGCATTTCATTCAATTAAAAAAAATCGGTAAGGAAAATAAGTCTAAGAACATTTCCATCACTACCATCCTGGGAATGGCAAAACAATTACTATATTTGCAAAGTTCCCTCTATCCAGGCCATTCATCTTTCTTCTTGGCCTATGATAGCAGCTCTGTACCCAAGACAGTTAAGAAATCCTATCCTCAGGCAAAGAACATAAGTAAACGGGTTCTACCTGGGTTCTACCTGATTCTGCCTGTGAGAAAAGGGAAGAGTGCAACCTCTGTCTAGTGTACAGTCATTTCCACCTCAATGCAGTCAAAAGAATGCAAGTAGGATACGACTGTTTCTAGAAAAGCAAGGCATTCCTTACTTTGGTAGGACTGAAGACACTTTGGAGGATGTGATTTTCATTCAAGTGTAGGTATTTACACACACCACAGGGCATATAAAGGGCCAAGTTGAAGGCATCGCTGCACTGGCCTCTTACTGTCAGTCCTACTATATTTAAGTTGCAACAATTTCCTAGCACTATGGGTACAGAATTTCCTCACCTATTCCAACCATGCCCAACTGACACTTTTTCTTTGGCTAACAGAGGAGAACGAAGAAACACATAGCAGCAGTAAACTGGACCTCTCCTTTCTCCTCCTGAGTGGTAGGACAGAGAAGGACATGCACAGATGTGAGGAGACAGCATCTGAGGCAGTAAGACTGCATTCTTCAGGACTGTGTCACGAACTGCCCACAGGAGGGATGTGTCCCGGTCTGTGACAGTGGCTAAAACATGTCCAGTTTATTATATAAATTTTGAAAACCTGAAGAGTTGCAAGGTTTGGTGAACACATAAAAATGAACCATAGGCTACTACAGAGAGGAAAGTCAGGAGGAGGACTGACAGCTGGGAGGATGGAGACACTAAATATGTGCAGTTACAGCAACATCACTCTACGAATGTAATTTACCATAAGCCTAGGATTACACATAACCCCAGATACACACAAGAAACAAATCATTTATTCATGCAACAAGTTGAGTTGAGGATCTTGAGATAGGGAGATTATCCCATATTATCCAGATGGACCTTAAATGCAATCACAAATGTTCTCCTAAGAGAGAAGCTTGACACAGATGGCAGGAGGCAATATATGATGGAAGCTGAGAGATTTTGAAGATGCTGTATTGCTGGCTGTGGAGATAGACAGATGTGCCATAAGCTGCAGAATGTTGCTTCAGAAACTGGAAAAGAGAAGGAAATGGATTCTCCCCTAGAAACTCCAGAGGGAATCTGGCCATGAATCGTCCTGCCAAGATCTAGATTTTGGCTCCTGAACCTTATTTCAGAATTTTGGCCTCTGTACTGTAAGAGAGTAAACTATTGTTTTAAGGCATCGAGTTAGTGACAGTTTGTTACAGCAGCCATAGAAAGCTAACACACCTAGCAAAGAGGAAGAAAAGACATGCTAATACCAAGAAAAAAAAATTTTGTAAACCACTTATCTGGCAGAGCTCTAGAATCTAGACTATATAAAGAATTCTCAAAGCTCAACAGTACAAAATAATCCCATTAGAAAGAGGGCAAAAGATACAAACAGACATTTTACCAAAGAAGATAATACAGATAACAAATACATACATGAAAGATGTTCACATCATTAGCCAGTAGAGAAATGCAAACTAAAATCACAATGAGGTATCACTACACAACCACCAGCATGACTAAAATGTAAAGTAAACTAGTACAACCTCTGTGGAAAACAGTTTGGCGATTCCTAAAAGATCTAAAAATCGATATTTCATACAACCCTGCAATCCCCCTACTGGAAATATGTCTGGAGAAAATCAAGTCACTCTATGAAAAAGATACCGTACATGCATGTTTACTGCATCATTGCTCACAATAGCAAAAACATGGAACCAATTGCGCTGCCCATCAAAAGAGAACTCGATAAAAATAAAATGGTATATACACACAATGGAATATTATGCAGCCATAAAGAAGTACGAAACTATGAATTTCATAGCAACTTGGATGAACTTGGAATCTATAATACTGAGTATTACAATTATTATATTTTTTTACTTTTATATATTTATTACATCTGTTATATGAGTATGGTATTTCTGTACAACAAAAACAAAAAACTGAGTATCACATGTTCTCACTCATAAGTGTTCCTTGAACAATTATCATAATACTGTAAGAAAAGGATTGGCAGTAGTAGGAAATTACCAGGGGTAATTGGCAGTAGTGGAATTCTACGGGGGGTGGGGGAGGGGACACACCTAATCAACAAGGGTATCTGCATAATGAACATCTGTATAAATAACCCTGAATTATACCCATCTTTAAAATAAAAATTTTTTTTTAAAAAGAAAGAACAATAAAAACACCAAATGCTGGCAAAGCTATATAGAGAAATGGAATCACACATATTCTGCTAGTGGGAATGTAAAAGGGTACAGCCACACTAGAAAGCAGTCTGGCATTTTCTTAAAAAACTAAACATGCACTTAATACATGACCCAGCAATTACACTCTTGGGCATTTATCTCAGAGAAATCAAAACGTATGTTTATACTACATATAAGTTTGTGTGCACAAATGTTCTCGGAAGTTTTATCATAGACAAAAACTAGAAACAACCTAAGTGTACTTCAGTGGGTAAATGGCTAAACAAACTATGGTACATCCATGCCATAGAAGGTAACGTAATTACAAGAACTATCGATGCACTCAACAATGGGGGTGCATCACAAGGGGAACTATGTTGAATGAAAAAAGCCACACCAAAAGGTTATATATTCATGTATATAAAAATTTTGAATGATAGTTATAGAAATAGAGAACAGACTAGTGGTTGCCAGGGTTTACGGTTGCAGGGGGAGGGCTGGTGGTGGCTATAAACAGGAAGCAAGAAGGAGCCGTGTGGCGATGGGACAGTTTTGGTGGTGGTGATACAGTGCTACATATGTGACAGAATTGTATAGGACCAGATGAATTTTTTTTTTTAAGACAGGGACTCACTCTGTCACCCAGGCTAGACTGCAGAGGCATAATCACGGCTCACCACAACCTCAACTTCCTTTCTCCTCAGCTTCCTGTGTAGCTGGGACTACAAACGTGCTATCATGCCTGGTTAATTTTTTTATTTTTTGTAAAGACGAGATCTCACTATGTTGCCTAGACTAGTCTTGAACTCCTAAACTCAAGCAATCCTCCTGCCTCAGCATCCCAGAGTGCTGGGATTACAAGTATAAGCCACCAACCCCAGCCCCAATCAAATTTAAATAAGCTCTGCAGAGCACACCAATGCAATTTTCCTGGTTTTGATATTGTACTATAGCTATGCAAGATGTTATCAATGAAGAAAAGTAGGTACTTGGGCCCTCCTTGTATGCTTTTTTTCCCTATTTCCTGAGAATTTATAATTATTGTAAAAAGAAAAGTTGAAAAATAAATAAATAAAAGTAAATAAAAAGGATTCTGCAATGCATATTAAGAATAGATGCCTAGAGAAGTCAGAGGAAAATCAGAAGTGTTTGGTGTTATGGAAGATCCCAGAAAAGAACTAGGCCAAGAAGAATGGGTGGTCAATTGTGTCAAATTCAGTGATACAGAGGCGATTTGGGTGGAATAGTGGAAATGAAAACCAGCAGCTTGAAGAGTAACTTATCTATGAGTTAAATTTCTAGCTTCCAGCTATACTCTTCCCAACAAACACCTCAAGAGGTAATGCTTTATCTACATCTCAAGTATTCTGATTACAATTTATAAGAGTTTACATTTTATTGAAAGCTTATTTTGACTCAGGACTATTTCAAGCATTTTTATAAGTATTAACTCATTTAATTTAAAAATCCTACAAGTATAATGATCTTCTCCACTTTACAGATGAGGAAATTGAGACATGGGCAGTTATATGACTTGCCCATGTGAGAGGGCTGGACTAGGACCAGACAAC